CGCACTGACAGAGGCGAGGCTGCCGAGCACTGGCGCCACCGGTCCCTCTGACCACCACCAGCAGGCAAGGTGGGTTAAGTGTCTTGCCCAAGGACACAACAACAGCAACCGACTGAGCGGGGTTCGAACCTGCAACCTTCCGATTACGGGGCGAGCACTTAACTCCTGTGCCACCATCGACTAGGCTCCCTATTGACCCACGTGATGTCACTCCACTCATGGGACCGCCCCGTTCGCCATGATGGACGGCAAAAAGACCGTTTACACATTGAAACTCCAGTGAAACCAGTCAAAACAAGCCCGTTTGTAGCCTTTTATCGCTTTTATTTAGTTGTTTTCACAGTAAAATGGTAACAACTTGAACGTGGCTGGCTGGCTGCACTAACAGACAAGGATGTGAAGTCAATTAGTTGTTTTTTTTTCCAAATAACGTTGCTCGAGACTGAGGACGGAGATGAACTGCAGCGATCAATCAGACGGACTAGCAGCCCTCAGGTTTACAGTGAACGTGTTTTTACCGGGTAAGATTAAAGTTTATTTATTTCATGACGAAGACAGGGGCAGGGACAAACATGATGTGTTCTTCTGATGGATGGATATTTCACCATGAACGAAGCGCGGTACCGTCCACTGTTAAATGCGAGATAATTAATTACAATATTGTTCCAATGTATGATTACACGTCGCGTGCTAAAATTATGTTATGTAGTACGAGCGTCGCTGTTAAGAGAGATCTTGTCTCATCCCGGTGTGAGAGCAGCAGCTGAACACGCGGTGACACCACCAGCAACAAAAACTAGTAGGGATCCGGACATTTTTTAAATCAGCTTCGGTGTAAAGTGAAACGCCGTTTATAACATAATGTTATAAATCCAGTCGGGTGAATTTAGGCAAAGTAGGCAGCTTGTTTACATCGGTGAACAGCTGCAGAGAGAACTTAAGCTAACGTTCGCAAGCTAGTTAATAACTCTTAACTTTTGTACATACCGCCCTCTACGAGCCCCATCTAGGTGTGCTACTTCTTCTGATAACTGAACACGGGCTTGAACTAGTAGAGGGAATGCTAAAGATCGCAAAAACCATTTCAGGCTTTACTTTTCCCTTTGTTTAGTACTCGAGTCGCTCACTGTTTACATGCTTTTGCCGTCCAGTATGGCGGACCCACTTGATTAGGTGACATAGGTGCAAAGGGTCAATAATACTCGTTGCTGCACTGTCACGTCATCGACCTCCTGACACACCCACGAGCCAATGGCTCCGCCCACAACCCAGAGGTGAATTTTAATGAGCTACTGCAGAAACTACGGTAAGTACTAGAAAACGGCACAGGTTTTGTGATTTTGGCTAAAAAACAGTAAAATCATAACACTGAGAACGATTTAAAACAGCAAATATATATATAAATATATTAATATATTAGAGTGGGACTTTAAGTGAACAAATTTTTATTTTAACCTAGTGTGGACATTTCCACATTGTGGGGACATTTTACAGGTCCACAATGCTAGCGCCCTAAAACTTGGTTTTAGATAGCATTAGCTTTTAGTTTAGGTTGATATGGGTTAGGCAATGGAGTCACTAAAATCAATGGAAGTCAATGGAGGTCCACACAAGCATAAAAACATGTGTGTGTGTGAGAGAGAGACTTGTATTTTTCATGATTTCATAATGGGGAGAATTTTCACCATTTTGTTTAGACGTCTCTCCTCCAAATCACTGGTGTATTATTTTGAAATTCCATACAGGAAATCCCGCTCGGCTTCCTCTCTTCCTCTCCACCAGCAGCAGATCAGCAGACTTCAGCTGAGCTCGAGAAAACGGTACCGGACTGTATGGTGGTCATCCGTTTCATCTTTGAACCTTTTTCTGGGGACCGGCTGTATGATTAAGCTACAATCTTCAATGAGTAAGCATATCCCAGTAAGTACCGCGTTCCTGGCTGCCATTTTGTTTCTGCTTAAATCTGACGCTGTCGTTAACTCTCACCCGGCAGCTGGCCTACGCCTTTCTTCAACCAAATCACGGCCCGTGCCTCACGAAGCACCCTGATATCTCAGCCCTTGTAACATGTAATCCCAAATAGATTTACTTACTGGGTGTAGGCGGCCTGGGGATTTAGGGCTCCTGAGCCAGTCGTTCTGGCTAGGAACCGCATCGGACTGGTTCAAACTACTTCAGGCTGCTGTCGGATTAAACTGACATTTGGTGTTAATTTGGCGCATTTTATCGTCACTGTATACCAAATGTAGGTGGTAGCTATGTTAGCGGTGAATGCTCGCTGTGTCGGTGGTGTTTTAGCGCCATGTCGTGTTGGTTTCAAGTGGGCTCCGGACGCCTCTGAAGGCCTCCGGGTTACGTGATGGCGCCCAGTCTGCTCACACAAAGGACGTGTTTAAGCCTCCTGGTCAAAGCCGATGACGTGCTGCTGTAAGGCACCAGGGCAGCCTCACGTCTGCTGTAGCTGGGACCACTGTATGGTCACCAAGCGCAACGTTTCAGACGGATCATCGGAGCAAGCGTCCGTTTCTGATGATGGAACGATGACAGGATGAAGGTCTCATGGAGGCTCGGCTAGCCTAGTGAACTAGTAGGAGGGAGACCCGCGATTATCGCTTTGTCGTGCATGTCTCATTGAAAATGAATGGAGTGGCGATGTCGCCTCCCGTGTGTCGAGCCCATCGACATACATACTAACCCTAACCCTGTCGAGCCCAAAAGGCTGATCTGGATGGCCGCTACTGAGCACGCTCCTCTGAGCAGAGAGGCAGGAAGCAACCGCCGAATGGGCCGCAGCAGGCCAGATTTATAAATAAATAAAACTATACAATAAAAATAAACGACATGTCGGCTATTAAATTAATAGTCAACTATCTTATTTGTCGATGTCGTCGTGACGAGTCGACTCTTCGTGGCAGCTCTGGTGTAGAGGATGGTAGATGTAATATAGTGATGTGTATATATATATATTAGGTTATTACAGTAGAAACACTGCTTAGTGACAGTCGTAGAAGCAGGGCAGACACGGTAGATGTGGAACTGAAAATAAAAAATGCGTCAGATAATTGATGAATATTTCAGCGATCGTAATAGAAAAGCATGACCAAAAGGGGAAATGCTTACGTTATAAATCAGAAGATACTGTTTTTATGACTCAAAGATCAGTTTGCCAAACAAGGCGAAGCGAGATGAAACAAAAACGGGTTCACCTAACCGTCTTTTCGGTGATTTAGGTGTTTTGGCCGAAAACTCACTTTTAGCATGCATCCCCACGCGTGTTGGAGCCTGTAACGACCAGGTTTTCTGTACTTACGTATGCGTTTGTTGTCGTCCTTCTCAGCAGTTCTGTGGTGTTCTGGGTCACACATTTATGGAGTTTCTGAAGGGCAGTGGAGACTACTGCCAGGCTCAGCACGCTACCTATGCAGACGAGTAAACAGCCTACCTAAAGTCCGCCTGACGCACTTGAGCCACAGGAGGGACCCCGGTAACTTGGCAGGATCGGGACACCTCCAAAAACCAGCGATATCTGGGCCTGGATGGGGTAACTCCACTCGCTACACACTGCCCTCGTCGGCTTCCACCTGGCCAAAATCAAGGTGGAACCAGCCTTTTTTAAACCTCTTTTTCTTTTTGTTCCTGAGGAGAAGGGCTTTGATTTTCTATTCTAGTTGCCAGTTCCCTGAACCCATTCCTGGATTTAGTTTATTCTCATTTGTTAGTTTTACTGTCGCCAGCCTAAAGAAGGTCAGAGGCTCCTTAGACCCCTCTGAGTTCCCGTTTACACTGCTGTGTACGTCGCTTCAGTTCTTCAGAGACACTTAAAATCAATCACAATGGCTCGAATGAACAGACCAGCTCCTGTAGAGATCACCTACAAAAATATGAGGTTCCTCATTACCCACAATCCTACAAATGCCACTCTGAACAAGTTCATTGAGGTGAGCCTCTGTGTTTTTGTGCCTAGCTCATAGTAAAAGCTGGAGCGGAGCGCGAGGCCAAACTCATGAAATGTGTGTTTCATTAACCCCTGCAGGAGCTGAAGAAGTATGGCGTCACCACGGTAGTTCGAGTCTGCGAAGCCACCTATGACGCCACCCTAGTGGTGAAAGAGGGAATCCAGGTTCTGGTGAGTGGCTCCTGCCTGTTCTAACCACACGTTTTTATTTCTTTTGTGTGTGTGCGTGTGTGCACGCTCGTGTGTGTATATATAATATGTATATGTGTGTGTGGGTATATATATATATATTTTTTGGAACTGCGCTGCTCTGGGTGGCTGCATGTTGGAGTAGCTCTGTTGACTATATGTAAGTTTAGCCTTTTCTTGGGCATTTTTTTTCTAGTTTCTCGAGAAAAACTGTATTTTTTGGGACACTTTACTTTTCTGTTTCTGGTGCTGTGAAGCTTGGAGGATTTTTACTGCTATTTTTCAGCTTTTGTCACATTTTGAGCATTTGTTATGATGCGTAACCATGGCAACAAGCTGGTTTACAATCGGGAGCAGCTGATTAACATTGGGAAGGCTGAAATAATACCTCAACTGAAGCCACAAATCCCAAATGAACTAAAACGCAAGAAGCGTGGGTGCAGAGCGGGAGCAAAATGGAGACGGAGAAAGAGGAAATTCAAACCATCTCTTCCATCGATCATAATGAGCAATGTGAGATCACTGGCCAACAAGATGGAGGAACTCCAAGCCCTTTCAAGGACTCAGCCAGAATTTCGGCAGTTTCGGAACCGCTGGAGGAGATAATGCAAAGAAGGATTCTCCAGAGAATCAAGAACATGATGGACAACCCTGAGCATTCTCTTCACATGACTGTCCGACAACGGAAGAGTGTCTTCAGTCAGAGGCTTCTTCGGTTTGGCTGCAACACTGACCGCTACTGGAGATCCTTCCTGCCAACAGCCATTGTAATATACAACAACTCTTTGATGACTTGATTATTATTATTATTATGAGCTACTACAGCAATCAGTTTCCCTCTGGGATTAATAAAGTATTTTTGAATTTGAATATATATAAATATGTATATGTGTGTGTATATATATATAAATATGTATATGTGTGTGCATATATATATATATAAATATGTATATGTGTATGTATACATACACACACACACAACTGGGATGATGTCATCCTCCCTCCTTTTCTTCCCCCTCCAGGATTGGCCGTTTGATGACGGTGCTCCTCCCTCCAACCAGATAGTTGATGATTGGCTGAATCTGCTGAAGGTGAAGTTCAGGGAGGAGCCCGGCTGCTGCATCGCTGTGCACTGTGTGGCAGGACTTGGGAGGTGAGTGCACGTTCAGGACACACTCATGCATGCTTTCAGCAGCGTTGTACCTGCCTCTGTAAATCACACGACCTCAGTAGGGTTTGTCCTTGTCTGCAGTGGTAAAAGTGGGAATAAGCACTAATCTCTGACATGCAGCTGTACGTGTGTGTCATTCACAACATCACACACACCTGAGTTAGGACAGCAGATACATTCTTCTCATTACCTTTGAAACGAAGGCTGGAGGCTAGGAGGGAGATCTGGCCGTCTGGTTGGGGTCTGGGGTGGTGGGTTGCTGTGCTCGGCGTTGGGCGGGGGAGCCTGCTCATCAGCACCCCAGCAGAAAGGATCAAACTCTGGTAACCGGTGATGGTTGTACCCCATGTGCAGCAGTACCGGGACCAGAGTGAATAGGGTGTGTATGGGGAGCATGAGTGGATGTCCGGCGTGCATTTTTGTAAGTCTTGGGTTGTATGTGTATGTGTGAGCATGAGGGGGGGAGTGTGTGACTGTGTTTGTGTATGACTGTATATGTCAGGTGGGCCTTTGACTCCTCCCCTCTCCTGGGACTTCTTTTGATGATATAGATCTTTGTCCCCCCTCCCCCTGCCACACCTGGTGTGGGGTGTGGTGCCTTGGTCTGCCTGGGTCGTGGCTCCCGGGTCAGGGGGTTTAAGATTTTTGGCGTCTGCCTGATCAGTCCCAGTGGCTGCCCGGTGGGATCCGGGTCCCCGGGCTCTGCTTGGTCCCCGGCGGGGGTGGTCACCCCTGGGTCCCAGGTAGCTGGGTTCCGGGCTTGGCCAGCTAGGGGGTGGGAGGCTGCGGGCGGGCCTGTGGGCTTGCCGCTGATATCTACCGAGACTCTGCTGGTTGTGGCCCCCGGGGCGATCCTCTGCGCCTCTCGAGGGGAGCGGGGACTTTTCTGGTTACAGTCTCCCTGGGGTCCCTGTGCTCTGAAGCAGCTCCTGGATCTCTGGGACTTGGAGCTCCCTCCATCTCTTACACATCTTTGGGGGGCAGATCTGTGGCTCCTATAGAGAAATCTTACATAAACAAGCGCGTGTACACACACAGGTGCTCACATGGTGCTCTCATAATTATGGACCATCGACATATAAATATTGGACAATGGGTTTCCATAGGCTCCAATAACACGTTTTAGAGGCCAAATGGGAGGTGGCCACCACCGCCATTTTGACCGTGTCACAGGTTCCGTCAAGCCCAGACAATTCCACAAAAGGGAAGAGAGGTGGAGCTGAGGGTGGGGCTGTAAGGCTGGGATCAGCTGACGACACCCGGTCGAACTAGCTACAAGCTAACCTGAAGCTAACCCAAAGCTAACGCGGAGGTGGGAGCTAAGCTAACGAAGGTAGCAACCTAGCTACAACCGGAGTTAACTGTGCACATCACCAGAGCTTCTGAGTCAGAGATACGCCGGGCTGACCGCTGGGTAAAACCGGGTGGAAAACATCGGTCTCCCGAGAGCTCCACAAGCCGATAGTGGGAACCCAGCTCCACCAACATGTTATATTTCAACCCATTTTCTAAAGTGCAGCATTATGTTAAATGCACTGGGTTTTACCCTATTACATTTAAATTACATGGTTAAACAGTACATGTTAAAATCTAAGCTCAGCTCGGCAGTGACCTAAAATACATAAATATAATTTTACTTACCGAAAAACATGAAGTGGAGACTCCTTGGACGCTCTATTAGTGCAATTAATGCCACAGCAAGTCATTTTGTCCAACAATTGCACAAAAATATCAAAAAAGACGCACAAACACAGAGACTCAAAATCCCGGAGCAGTTTCCAGGCCAGACCGAGGCTCTACTGAGGCCTTTCCACGGAGCTAGCTCTGTGGTCACGTGGGTCTGATGCTCATTAATTATACAGACTTTTAGGCTTTTAATACACTTAAACAGAAGAGTGAGAAAAAAATTGACGTCATCTGAGGGAGTCCTGTTAGCTTAATCCAGAGAAATATATGGATTGTAATGCCAGCGCTGACACAGAGGAACCTTTAAATGTTTACAATTATACTCATGATGGACCAAAACCATAAAGTTATGAGTTTGCTGCACGCCCCAGAGAACAGACCAACCAGAGGGAGAAACCGTCGGTTAAAGCAGAGAGATGGAGGAGGAGAAGCAGTGGGGGGGGGGGGACTGAATTCAGTGGGAGGAATCTTCCTGCATGCGCTCTGGTTCTGCGACATG